CAAAGCTCAATGGGTAGGGTGGTCCTTTTTGGACAAGCAGCGGGAAAGCTTTCCAGACAGTAGTATGAATGACCAGCTATGCGGTTTTAGCTGGTCAGACTCCAGCAGTACACCAACGCACACTCTGGGGTCTCCAAGACTTGGTTCTTGCCAACCTATGGCGAATACTTTCCAAAATTAAGTAATCAGAATGCGTCCCTCCAGGGAGAGAGTGTGCATTGCATTCTAATAATCTATCAAATAAATTGGTCATTTCAATCCACGACTGTTTGTGGGACATTACTGTGCACAATTGGCTGCCGCATTTCGCCCACAAATATACAGTCAATTCACTTTACAGTATATTCTGTGAAGCGCTTTAAGACGTCTAGAAGATGTGAAAACCGCTATATCAAATGCAAGGATTATTATTATTATCATTGGGATTTCCATGTGTGGGTGGGATCATGGAATTCTCAACTTGGTTTGGATACTTTTAAGCACGGTGATGGGTTTCCACATGTTTCAGACACCTTTCACAGCCAACCCCCAAAAAACAAAATAAATTGCCTTTGCCTGATGTTCTGGCTATTCTTTTTCACACTGGATCACTGTCATTTGTGCTTGTCCTTCTCTTCCTCTTCAATGACTGAGGCTACTATCTAAATTCTGCATATTTCTTACTTTTAGTTTATACTGCTCAATTAACTTCTCTTTTCTTTTCACATTCTTGCTGCATAGACGCCCCTTTCTTTGCTTGATCCTTTACTATTATTGTGGAGCAATGTTGCATATTGGTTAGAGCACTCGCCTCACAAGTAAGAGGACCTAGGTTCGATTCCTAGGCAGGGCAAAACTTTAGGCAAGTTTCTTTACTCCACATGCCTCTGTTTACTTAGCAGTAATTAGGAACCCAGTCATTAGTCAATTGGTGGATTGCTTTTCCAGGGGTAATAATCCCTTCAAAAAAAATTCTGTGTTAGCCCAACAAAAAAAAATAATTGAGCCTTTTACTATTAGTATCATTGAAAAATGTATAAATAAAAAGACCGTTTTGCTAAAAATAAAAATCATAATTCTTGATGTAATGCCTTTCATATCAGGAGGATGTCTTAGACAGCTTCACATGATGTACTGTAAAGTGTAGTCCCTGTGTATTATGTAGGCAATACTGTCCAGCATTGTATACTTCACCAGGATCGCTATACTGTACATGACATTGCCTCCCAATCCCTGATGGTATACTGAAGTGTTTGCTCTATAAAAGGAGATTGTTGTATGTTTTCTGTTTCCAAGCTTTCTTTGGACATACCAGGTCTTTTATGTAGGCAGAGAGCTCCTCCTCTGCGTTCCATGCTCTCATCCTAGTGATGAGGATAAGGATGATTCTTTTGCGGAAATGTAAAACCAAGATTTGCATAATGCACAACGACTATATAATTCCTGATAGATTATGCATTGAGTGAGCCACTTGATGTAAATAATAAGAGCAAAACTAAATTCTATTCCTCTCATTTCATCCATTGTGCACTGTGCTCAATTTATTAAAAACAACTGATTAAGGAGCAAGAATAATTGCATAATCCTCAAGGTTTTCAATATAGAGGTGAAATAATAATAATAGTCCTTGCATTTGATAAAGTGCCTTATCACATCCTCGAGACATCTGAAAGCGCTTCACAGGATATACTATAAAGTGAATTGACTGTATATTTTGTGGGCGAAAATAACTCTCTTCAAATAATGCACTTGACTACTTGAGCGAGGTATGAGAAAGTGGATCCATACCCAAAGGAAAAAGAGAGTCAACTGCGTTCAGCAAGGGATTGGAGAAAATTACTGATTTACATGAATAAATTAACTCATTTGATGGGTTTTGGTCCAAAATAAATCTTTCCTTTTAAAGTAATAATCCTTGCAATTGATATGGTATCTTTGATGGGAGGATGTCTCAAAGTGCTTCACAGGAGGTTACTGGAAAGTATAGTAATTGTGTGCTTTGTTAATGACCGCGGCAGCCAATTTGCATACAATAATGTCTCGAAAACTGCAACAAAGTGATTGATTAATCATATTTAGGTTATTGTTTGCCAGGGCACAAGAAGAAACTTCCTCCTCTTTTCAGACAGTGCCATGGGAATTTTTAAATTTTGTCTGCCCGAACCGGCAGACAGGACATCGGTTTAACGTCTCAAACGAGCAGAATGAGAGAGGATAGGTGTGAAATGCAAAAGGCTCAAATGAGATCTAAGAAGTGGATGGGTGAAATACATTCCCAACAAAAGCAATTGGTTGGTCACTACACTATCATAATACCACAATAGTTTTGGAGGAATTACAGCCGGGTCCAGTTTGAAGTGAACATGTAGTCCGAAGAACCTACTGATTTGGGGTAGAGTGGAAGATGGCTGTGCAGGGAACAAAGTTGGGCTGGTTAACTTCAGGGTCCAAGGAATCCATATGCAGAGCTTTCCTCCAACAGAATAATGGGTATAAGAATAATGGATGAAGCCTATCACAGGGTGGTTTGTAGGTTTGAGGATCTGATTGACAGAAAGTATTTTCTCACGACATGCTTTCGCACTAAACTTCACTTGCCTGTCCCCTCCCCCTGCATCCTTGCCAGACTCTATTTATTTTCTGGTTCCTAGTTGATTGATTCCTTCTTTCTCCCTATCACTGTGATCTTCTCTAATCTCACTTTCCCAATCGCCCCTTCTGCTCGCCTAATTCAGGCCTGTTGCACATTCCTCTCCCTGCGTCCTACCTATCAAAGCTTTCAGCTGTGTGTCTCAACCCTCTGTAATGATCTCTGATCCTTGCCTCTATCTCTGTGTCACCCTATGCAAATCTCCCTATCTCTAGCACGTCACCCTGTTTGAAATACAAATTGTTGTTATGTTTTGTTTAATGGCATGATGGAGATTAATCAGGTTTCTTTAAACTTCTGTCGGATTACCATAAATCTGCAAACCCTGAAGTTCACAATTCAAAAAATGATCAGCCTGGCTCAGCTGGTAGCACTCTCACCTCTGAGTTAGAAGGCTGTAGGTTCAAACACCATGTCAGGAGTTTGAATTCACATAGTCTGTTCTAACACTAATTCTCTGCTGGAAGAGCATTCCACTGCTGGAGGTGTCGTTCTTCGAATGAAATTTTAAACTGAGGTAATTGTCCTATTTAGGTGGACATTAAAGATCATGTGGCACTGTTTGGAAACAAAAAAGAGAGGTTCTCCTTGGTCAACAAACTCCCAAGTAAAATAAAAAGATCATTCATTCCTTGTCTATTTGTGCGACATTGCTGTGTGCAAATTGACTGATTGTTCGCCTGCAAAATACACGGTCACAACACTTTACGGAAATGCCTCTGGGGCGCTTTGAGATATCTCGAAAAACGTGATAAGATGCTACATCAAATGCAACAATTATTATTATATATATATATTATGTCGAGGAAATAATATTTCAGTTTGTCCCGCATCCGCTGGGTGGCGATAAGCAATCGTTGATCCTTATTTTCTGACGTTTGCTAAAAGTCAGTCTGATGCCACGGTTTAGGGGGAAAAGATTATATTGTAATTACGTGATTCGTCCAGTAGATGGCACTCTGCACATTGACTTCTCCATACTTTACCATAATATTCATTTGTTAGACTTCAGCACATTAATAGTGTCCTACGATGTGGGTTTGAAATAAGTTTGGTCGGCAATTGGCTGCATTTTGGACAATAGTCTTAGATCCATTTTGGTCAAGTGTTGGCAAAGCACCAGTCAAGAAGAAGTTAGATTGCATGAGCCTTGCACATACTTTGTTGCATTTCTGCAGAGTTCCTGGGGAGAAATGCAACAATGTAAAGTAAGAAAAGAAAAACATGCAACAAGGCATTAAGTTTGTAATATATACAAAATGCTAAATGTGGGATTTATAATTTAACATTGCTGTGTTTTGCTCAGAGTTAACTGCTCTCTGCCCTGGTGAGATGGATACAGTTACAGCATTTCAAAGTTAGTCAACGCAGGAGTGCCGATGTGCACAAGTGCAAGTAACAAGCATAAGTATTATAGCAAGTAACCTCACACCAAACCAAACGAATTCAAAACAATCATTTAACTAACATCGAGCAAATGGATCTATTTCATAAGTCGTGGCTTGATCTTAAGGTGCATTGCATGCAATGTTGTCCAGTAAGACAGTTAACAACTGTGTTGACTTAAAACACAATCTTACACAAGAAGTGATAGAAACTGGTAACACGACCGAGGGAGTGAGAGCTCGATGTGAACAGATGGGCGAAATACATTTCCGAGACAAAAAAAAAATGAATGAGCTGCAGCTGCAGAGTATTTGTGTGGAAAGTCAGGTCGCGGGCGATAGCTTAACCAAAGCGTTGGGTGGATTTGTGCAACAACAACAAGATTCCATTTATAAAGCGCCTTTCACGTCAGGAGGACGTCCCAAGGCGCTGCAGGAGAGATGCCAAGAGAAAATAGCATTGACTGACATGACGGGATCGAGGCTTTTTTTTTAAAAAATGAGTTTTTTTGCAAATCTAATAGCAGGAGAGAGATGCTCTGGGGATTGAGACTGTTCGATTGCCCCCCACCCCCCCCCGTTTTTTGCAACTGCAGCCGTGCGTTTTGTCAAAATGCAAATAAACGAACGCCTCCCGTGACGGTTGCACGTGATATATTTTTTTTTGGGGGGGGGGGAGGGTTTGGGCTGTGATCGGGACCGAACACGTCTCGTGGGGATCGCCGCTGTGAGCGAAGGGCGTCTCCGGGGTTTGCAACACTTGCGCTCGAGGGGACGTCGCATTGTCCATTCATCTCACCGGGCGGGTGGGGGCGGGGCCGAGGGCGGGGGCGGGGCCGAGGCGGGCCGGCCGGCCTCCGCGGCTGATTGACAGCCCGGCCCAGCCACTCGGGCGGCCTGGAAGGTGGGTGGGCATTGTGACGTGCGGGGAGGCGGCGGCGGGAGGGTATAAAGGGAGCGACGCCGCGCCGCTGCGGCTCATTCCCGGGACCGAGTCGGGACTGTCACTCGCGCGCTATGGACTTACTGAGGACCATCGCCTGTCAGCAGCACTCCAGGATGTGTGAGCAGACTCTGGCCAAGTCCGGGGAGCTCCGGCTCAGCAGGAGAGCGGACCCGCCGACACCCCCCGCCGCCGCCGCCCCCGAGATGTCCAGGATTATAACCGACCCGAGCACCGGCAAGTGCTACTGCAGAGGCAAAGTCCTGGGCAAGGTAACGGCATCGTGCATTGCCAGGCGGGGGGGCAGAGGCACAAACTCCGCGCACTGCTGTAAACTCCCCCCTCCCCACCCTCCACCCTCCCCACCACACTCTCCCTGTGCACGTTCTGCTGGTGAGGTTTGCCGGGATGTGTGCAGGTGGATGGGATGGGATGGGATGGGATCCGTGCAGACGGCTTCCGTGCGTTTAACTCGCACAGACCGAGACGCCGGTAACAGACAGCAGCTGTGTCTGTCCGACCCAAACCGGCTCTGCCCGACCCCAACAGCTGAGGGGCTGACACTCTGATTCACTCTCTGTGCTGTTTGCATTGATTTCGCCACGTGAACGCGAGGATTATTATACAGCGGTGCAATAAAGTCGTGTCCCCCCTCTCCCAATAATCCCCTCTGCAATAGTCGGTGCTGAATGCTCAAGTCCGCCAGTGCTTCGCTTGAGACTTTTGTGTCTGTTTCGCTATTTTTCTTCCATGTGATTGAAGATGTCCGTTTCAAATGTGTTCGTTTAGGGAGGATTTGCCAAATGCTACGAGATGACAGATCTGTCCACCAACCGCGTCTACGCCGCAAAAATCATCCCCCACACGAGAGTAGCTAAACCTCATCAGAGGGAAAAGGTGAGAGTTTGTTTCTGTTGTAGTTAGTTACTGCTGCCCTCGGATCACTTTCTGGTGCTCCTCGTTACCTTGCAATGCAAGAGGATTGTAAATTGTTCAGATATTGCTAAAACTGTTGATGCCCTCAATCTTGTAGCCTCGTGACTGATGCATCTGCATCTCTTTTCGCAGATTGACAGAGAAATTGAACTGCACAGAACACTCTTTCACAGACATATTGTCCATTTCTACCATCACTTTGAAGACAAAGAAAACATTTACATCCTACTGGAACACTGCAGCAGAAGAGTAAGTATTCCTTTTATCACCAGCACATATCAGATTAGTTTGTTAAATCCATCATTTGCAAATGTATGGGATTTACACAGTGCTAATTTTTTTGTTTTTGCTTTCTAGTCTATGGCTCACATATTGAAAGCCAGGAAGGTGCTGACAGAGCCAGAAGTCCGATATTACCTGCGACAGATTGTGTCCGGATTGAAGTGTTTGCATGAACAAGGGATTCTGCATCGAGATCTTAAACTAGGTACGTGTTTTTCTGTAATATTCTACAACATACTACAAGAATTTGATCATATTTTTCATTTGTCATTTGATATCTTAGTTTTCCACTGCAAGTAATCAGATTCTGATGGCTTAAAATATTGAATGTATTTGTTTTTTCTAGGTAATTTTTTCATCAATGAATCGATGGAACTGAAAATAGGAGACTTTGGATTAGCAGCAAAACTGGAACCAGTGGAGAATAGAAGTCGGTAAGGAAATTAGCTGGATGGATTTTCAATGTCTCAGTGCTTTGGTTATTGGTAAACAGCAGGACTGACCCAAGACATTATCTTTTTGCAGAACCATCTGTGGTACTCCAAATTACTTGTCCCCTGAGGTGCTCAACAAACAGGGACACGGCTGTGAATCTGACATCTGGGCCATGGGCTGTGTAATGTAAGTGTCCTTCTTACCCTTGGCCTTTTGTATCCGCTAAGCATTAATGATGACTGTTTGCATTCAAGTAATCTTGGGGGTTTGCTGGTCTAATGGTTTAATTTTATATTGATTATAGGTATACTATGCTGCTGGGGCGACCTCCATTTGAGACCACAAACCTGAAAGAAACTTACCGATGTATAAGAGAGGCAAGATACACAATGCCATCTTCCCTGTCGTCTTCTGCCAAGCAATTAATTGCAAGCATGCTATCAAAACACCCAGAGGACCGGCCCACCTTAGACGACATCACACAGCATGACTTTCTAACTCAGGTTTGTACTGCAGAAAATTAGTTAAATGTTTGTTTTTTATTCTCTTCCCCCCCTCCCTCTGTACAATACCTTGTGTCCACAAATCTAAAATGTCATTGTCCATCAACAGGGATTCACACCTGACAGACTGTCGCAGAGCTGTTGTCACTATGCACCAGATTTCCACTTGTCCAGCCCTGCCAAGAATTTCTTTAAGAAGGCAGCTGCAGCCCTGTTTGGTGGGAAGAAGGACAAGGTCAAGTTTCTGGACAATCAAAGTAAGCCTAATTGTATGCTCCATACTCTTGTATTCTGTTCCCTATAGCTCCATTTGACTGATAGCAAGGTGTGCCACATTAATTGTAAGACCTGATATTCCACTGCGGCCTCAATAGATAAGTAATTAAGCAAATTAAGAGGAGCCAGATTAATATTTCAATTTGTAAATAGTTTTATTAATGCTGAAATCTTAATTGATGGCTGAAAAAGATTTACAATGCATAATTAAATGTTCTTTTTTTTATTTAGATAAGCTGGGAAAGGATGATGATGAAATATACAAGCTGAAAAGTGATTTGAAGAAAATGTCTCTAAGCAACCAAATGAACAATAAAAGCCCATCAGATGAGGTAGGTTGAATATTTGAATAATTCAGTTAATTTCCTTTCACCACATGCATTTGTGTTATGGTGCCGATGTATCATGAATGCCTTTAGATCCAGGAGGATGCTTCCAAGTTGACCTTGTTTCTTCTTCTTTTAACAGGAGCAGAGAGGTACCAACTGTGATAAGCCAGAGACTGCGCCAGTGAAGGAAACTGAACAGCAGATCAGAGATTCGATTCGGATGATAGTAAGAGGAACCCTGGGCAGCTGCAGCAGCAGCAGTAGTGAGTGTAAGTACAATACTGCACATTCATTCAGAAAACCATTTACTTGAATCCTTTTTAAGAATGACTAAACATTAATTCTGTGGTAGTGATGCTTCTATAATTATAAAACAAATTACATTTGTATTGCGCCTTTCATGTCAGGAGGACATCCAGGTGTAAAATTGTCAGGTTAACTTTAATATTTCAAGTAAGCCCCAATAGAGGGCTTTCCTTTGTTATGTTTGCAGAGATTCCAGTGCATGCTATCAAATTGCTATAATGTCTTTTTTTTCCTCTTTACAGCTCTTGAAGACAGCACAATGGGAAGTGTTGCTGATACAGTTGCTAGAGTACTTAAAGGCTGCCTGGAAAACATGCCAGAAGGTAAGCATCACATTGTGACCTAATTGACTTGAGTTAATGAGGATTCAAATAGGCCTCATTTGACTGCTGAAAACAGTTTTTTTTTAACTAAATGTCTCTTTATTGACTTTTTCAGGAGACAATTTCCCCAAAGAACAATTGAACTGCTCCTTCCAGTGGGTCACTAAATGGGTAGATTATTCAAACAAATACGGCTTTGGGTATCAGCTGTCAGATCACACCGTTGGAGTCCTCTTTAATAATGGAACTCATATGAGCCTGCTGGCAGACAAAAAGTAAGTGTAACCAGTTACTCCACAAGCTATCTGAACCTTGGTGATTTGAATGATTTTGAGATCCTATGCAGCATGTAGTGTAGAGTGACTTACCACCTTTCCTTCCTATTTTCAGGACAATCCATTATTATGCAGAGCTTGGCCAATGCTCCATATTTACAGCCACCGAAGTGCCTGAGAAGTTCATCGGTCAAGTCACTATTCTGAAGTATTTTGCTCACTACATGGAGGAAAACTTAATGGAGGTAAGGGGTCCAGGTGTTTTTCTCTTGCACCTTTTCACACCTTTGCAAGCTTAGACTTTCCCTGGCAGCTCCACAGCTGCTCACTTGGCATTCCATCCATTGTACTGATGCTTCCCACTGTCTTGTAAAAATAATTGTTTCGGGCCTCGCACGCATTATGGTTAACATTATAACCTTGTGTGCATTGATGCTATGCAGTAGAACTAAGGCAATATACAGTGGAGCCTCCAGTTATTTACAAATTCATCCTCTTTGATGCAGATACTTGAATAATATGATTGTGATATTCAGATTCTTAATTGCATTTCATTCCTGTTTTCAGGGAGGTGATTTGCCTGCCTCTACAGATGCCCAGAAGCCAAGATTATGTCTCCTTCAGTGGCTAAAGTCTGACCGGGCACTGATGATGCTATTTAGTGATGGCACATTCCAGGTGAGGATTCTACCTGAGTTTGTTTAACCTGGTAAAGGGAGATTAGATTTTAAATGCTGTACTGATCTGTTGCATCATGGAACAAGTTTCTGATCTTTGATAAGCTGCTTGTGGGAGGTGAAAAGGGGCCAATTATTTCACTTGAGTAGCAGTTGGCACAGGATTCTGCCAGTCTTTTCACCTTGGGTATCTGGATCAATGAGTCCATGCACGCAGTCTTTAAGTAGCCAAATGCCCTAGTCCTGCATGATCCCAGGTCCGTTTTGGAATCTTGTCCTAATGCCTCTTGCAGAATGAGAAGGGATGAATGTGGCCTCATTCTGTGCATGCTGATAGCTGACATTGCATAAGTTGCAAGAAATGCAAACCAAACTGCTCAATGTATATTCTCCATGAATAACACTCGATCGATTAGGGTAACTGGCTTTCCAGGCATAGCTTCTGCCACTTCTAAAATGCACTGCTGACTTGAATACTCTTGTGATTTTAGGTGAATTTCTACCATGATCACACCAAAATTATTATTTGCAACCATGATGATGAGTATCTGCTTACATACATCAACGAGGATAGAATATCTACCACATTCCGCCTCTCCACACTGTTGATGTCTGGATGCTCCCAAAATCTTCGTGCCAGGATGGAATATGCCTTAAACATGGTGCGACAGATTTCATTAAGAAGATTGGAGTGAAGTGTGAAGAAAGTTTCTCATGTGGGGAAATTGTTCTGAAGTAACTGAATTGTCCATTTGTAAGGAGGAGGTGGTACGAGGGATTGATCATTTCATTGTGGTGTACTGGGCCGGAACCAGACAGATGGTGTTTTTTTAAATCCTTCATTGTGAAGGATGGATGATACCTTAACCCCTGTCTGAGGAACTTAGTATTTTTGTTGCAAGAACTATGAAAAGGATTGTATGTTACAACAAAGCTGGGTGATTTGTTGTAGCTGCATAGTGAACGGAAAGAAAGATCTGCTGCAAGTGATGTTGGATAGAAAGAAGTATTGAAGAATACAAGAACCAAGAAAATGTGGCTCATATGCTGCTTATCTGAACTTTTAAGGACTTCAAATTCTTAAAAACTGAACTGAGGAAGCAAAGCCAAGGTTGTACCTTGTAGCTGGATGTGTTCATTCTTTAATTTATTACACACTGACAGTATTTATTATTTATTATATCTCACTTGTGCACACTGACAATTTTGAACGCTGAACAAGTCACTGAATGTTTTAAATATTAATAAAGATTCTTAATTCAACTTGTTTGAAATGGTCTTCATAATTTCAGCTTAATGATTTTTAGTAGGTGTGTTGCATTGCAATGGAGGGCAGACATACCCATACTTGGTGTAATGTGTTTGCTGGACAGACATTGAGTGAGGATGAAGGAAAGGAGAGCTTTTTCACTTATTTTGGTCAGCTGACTGACGTGGAAATCTATCTTCATGTTTGAGTCTACAAACGAGAGATCCACATCTATATGCCTCCTAGATATGAAAATTTCCCTGCAGGATGCATTCTGCTGCGTATTAGATACAGGTTTGTGAGAGTCCAGTCTTTGGGGACACCAGTTGGGATTGTGTTGCAATTAATGAGTTTAACTGACAAACTATAGTTTACCATTGCAAGCTTCCTGCTGCATGTCCAGTTAGATCACCGAACCTGCTAGTGCTTTGGCTTGCAGCATAACAGGACCTGTGATTGGTCTGCCCTCCCAGGTCTTGCCAACGCACCAGGCCTTCTGGTGTATCAGCAGTGCCTTGGATTACGACAGACCTCGACTTCTGGGCCGCCTTGGTTCTGGCATTCTGTGTCTGAGTATAAAACCAGCTCAGCCTGAAGAAAACCCTGCTTAAACCACCCCCTTTAATTTTAACTATATAAAAATCTGAGTGCAATGCAATTTGCAGTGCAATTGATGTACGTCCTTAATGCCTTCAATCTAAGGTCACCAAAATTAAATTTTATTGATTACTTCTTTTTGGTGTCCTGTTCATTAAATAGAATAGCTGCATTGAGCTTACTGAATGCAGTGCATAATAGGCACATAGTTCTGAATGAAAGGGATCATGCTACTTAATGGCTGCTACTACATAGCAATAGATTTAGGTTTGTGAGAGACCAGATCGGATAATGCAGAAAGTAAAGGGAAAGAAACATTGATTTGGATTGACTTTGAAAATGCATCAAAATTGACCTTGATCAGCAGCCTGACCTTTCCTCATCTATTATCAAAGTAAAAAATGCACTTTTACTGCTGGTAACCAGTGGCAGTGAATGAATTTTAATGAAATCTGTCTTACAATGGCTAAAGTATGTACATACAGTAAAAACTGAAAATCAATATTAACCTGTATACAAGATATTAATTTAAATTTATATAGTGCCTTTCACATTGAGACATCTCAAACGTGCTTCACACTGGGAGCTAAATTGTGGTGGTGGAGGGAGGCAAAGGATAATAAGAGACTGGTCTTAAGGTGGTTTGAAACGCAGAGAAGGAGGGGGCAAAACAGACTCGAGGATGGATGACAGAGGGGCAGAAGGTTCACATAGTGATGGTGGGGCCAATTGGGTGATATGAAGCAGGCTGGTGTTTACTTTATCTGCATTTATTTGTCACTTCCAGAACTAGTAAATAGAAATGTGAAACTAGATAGAACTCCAACATGGGCATGAGGACAGCTCTAAGCTTGCAAAGAAAGGAAGAACTTACATGTTTATAAAATCTTATTACAGCAACTTGCACTTATTATACCATCTGAGTGGTGACTGCTTTCTGTAAGCAACTGCTGCAGTCATTATCCAAACAGCAATCTCCCACAAATAGCTATAGGATGAATCAACAGTTTTATCTGCAGGATTGCTGGTTAGCCATTGGGAGAAACTCCCTTGTGTTTTTGAACACCTTTAACATCTATCTGAACATGAAAAACATGCCCTTGGTTCAATGTCTTAGCTAAAAGACGGCACCTCCGATCACACAGTGCTCCCCTGGTAACACATTAGTGTCAGCCTAGACTACGATCTCAAGTCCCAACATGTGGAATCAAATTTCCTTATCCAAGCTTCTGTATGAAAATAAATATTTCAGAAATTTATGCTTGAGATCAGCTCCACAACCTCCTGACTCAGGTAAGAATGCAATCAATTGCTAAGGTTACATCCAACTGAGCCAGGCTGACAGGGCTCTGTTGCTGAATGCTGGAAATCTTCTGAATGTTAACTAGACCAGCTCTCCAACATTAAAAAGTTTAACAAGCTAATTATATATTTTTTTAAATTAAAACTTGAATTTGAAATTTGCCTCTGTAAAACATGATATTGTACTCAAATTATACTTTTTAGATTGCCCTCAAAGCTCCCATCAATTCCTTTCAAAAACCACATCCTGTAGATGCTTTCCGGATTGGTCTGTGAATCAATGTCCAGAGTTAAATTACACTTTAAGCATTGACATGAAAACCACATTAAATGGAGTCCTGAAACGTATTGGTTAGAGCAAGCAAGAGGACCTGGGTTCGTTTCCTGTGCAGAGGGAAACCTTAGAGTAAGTTTCCTTACGCTAAACGCCTCTGTTTACCTAGCAGTAATTAGGAACCCGGTTGTTAGTCGATTGGTGGATCGCTTTTCCGGGGATAATAATCCCTTCCAAATAAACCATCATAATTTGGTCACTCAATCCACGGCTGTTTGCAATTGGATGTTTCGCTTTACAGTATATTCTGTGAAGTGCTTGGAGATGTCTCAAAGATGTGATAATAGATTATATCAAATGCAAGGATTATTATTATAATGGATGCTAACTGTGAGTAAAGTTTAGGCATAAATTATTGAATGGCGGCTGAATACAAATTCCAATGATATTGCATATAATCATTAATCACTGCATTGTAATCGTTCAGTTTTGTAAACGCCCAAAGGAAAGCAACTCCTTCCCTTTTAATTGGCAGTGATTAAGAATGGGCCTGCACTAAATGCTCAATGATTACCATGTTTCAGTACAGCATTTGATTGACATATATAAAGTTGTCTTCTTCAACTAGTAATATGAAAAGATCTTTCTTCTAGAAGTATATGCTTCAGCTGAGCTCCAAACTACATGAATTTCATGTCTTTTTTTATACTGCTGGGAAATACCAGAACAGGAAGCCTGATACATTTGTGTATGTGCTTTTGTGCTTAATGAAATACAGTATTCACATTGCTTTCACCCGAAAGTGAAGTGTAGATTGGGCAATTGTCCACAGAACCACCATTAGGCAGTTATTTTGGAAGTACAGTACATTGAGTCACACTGCTGTAGTATAAAAGCATCAGATGCAAAATCTACATATCTTCTGTTCCAAATGGTCTGTTTATTACATCCGTCCCTTACCTCTGTTCCTGAAACAATCCCAATTTTTTCAAGTGCCTCTCACCCTAATGAATCTCTGAGTCAGAGGACTACGGATTGAATCCCTAGTTGGAGCTGACACACCAAGGCAGTGCTGCGGCAGTGTTGCATTGTCGGAAGTATTGACCTTCAGGTGAAACGTTAAATTGAGGATCCGTCTGCCTGTTCAAGTGGACATTAATTGCAGGTTACTATTTGAACTGAGAACAGAGTTTCTTCCAGTGTTCTGACCGACAATCCCCCAAATAAAATTAGCCTTTTCACTTTGTGGATATTTGTGGGATATTGCTCTGAGTAAGTTGGCTGCTGTATTTGCCTGCAAAATACAGTCATTGCAGTTGACAGTAAAATCCTGTCGTACCCTTGGACTCTTTTCAATGACGTGATAACGCGCTATAGCAAATTATTATTATAATTTGGCTTTAGAACAAATTACTCAATGTATGATGCTTTTAATTCCATGCTTCAGAAATAAATATATTCTCCTGATGTAGGGCACAAAGTAACAACAGAAGCATTTATCAGTTCTAATTGTTGATAGGTTGTGGCACATCTGTGGCACATCTGGTGAGCTGCTGGAAGATGAAACTTCCTTTTGAGTAGGCAAACAGTCAGCGGGTTTGTGATAAATGGGTATTTGTCTTCCTATTTACAATACTGCAACAGTCCATCGGGGAAATGTGTTTGGCCCAACTCTGATTCTTATCTCTATCAATGACCTTAGATACGTTATCAGAAGTGCCACTGGTGACATCACTCTCTCAAGAGCATTTTCCTGCATTCAGGTCTAAACAGATCAATAGTGCATTATTTTCAGCACGAGGAAAGCGATTCAATAACTCTGTCAAGAATGATTAGCAGTGAAGCAGCCATTCTAACTTCATAATTAATGTAATTTCTATCTGGTGATAAATATTTAGATGTTTGCTTTGGTAATTGCATTTGATATACGCTAGGCAAACAAGGACAAACATGGCCTAGAAAAGGTAGAAGATAAGTTCTAATTTTCACTGTCAGCAGTTTTAATACTCTGCAAAGCTTGTATGCTCCCAGTGCTGCAATATTGGAGCTCTGTTTGATAAATTGCATAGAGAATTCCTCTCTTATTGCTGAATTCAATACAACAAATCACACTTACATGAGCTTTTCACATCGGATGAATGTCTCAAAGGGCTTCACAGAGACAAGAAGAAGCTCCGAGCAGAGAGGAGGGGACCAAAACCTGATCAAAGCAATACAACAACAACAACTTGCATTTATAGTGTCCTTCATGCGGGGTAGAGTCTTGAATAATGACAGAGTTTGATGGCAAGCCAAGTAGAAAGGAAAGATGACTGAAGGCATAGTAGAAATTGATCGGTCTTTAATCGGATTTTTAAGGCAGGGAAAGAAGGAGCAAGGCAAACAGATTTTGAGAAAGATTTCCAACAATAACTTGCATTTATATAGTGCCCCTCACACAGGTTTCAGCCTCAGAGTGCTTAAACAGTGCTCCAGAGAACAGAGCACAATGACTGAACCCTTGGCCACTACTGGTGGAGATGATATGTGAGGAATGAGAAACACATTCTCAAACAAAGTAGGCTGCTGAATATGGCCTACACTATGTCAGAAAGAAGTAGGCAACTTCAAGGTAAAGTAGGCAGGCTATTGGTCTTCCACAATGAGTATCTCACTTATCAGACCTCATTCCTATGTAATGTTTAAGATCTCTACACCTTAACGCTATCTGTTTAAAATCTCTGGACATAATACTACCAGTGCATCTTAACATACCATTTTTTAATAAGGAAACTATTAGAATTCCCATTGACTGTAAGATCACATCATTGTTAAGGAATCCCATGAAGAACAAATGCAAAT